CCTGCCTGTGGACCTGGTCACTTTACCTGTGCAGCACCTGTGGCAGGAAATAGTGATATGAACAAAGATTGCATACCAGCGTCATGGCGTTGTGACGGCCAAAAAGATTGTCCTGACAAGTCAGACGAAATTGGATGTCCTTCATGCCGAGTGGATCAGTTCAGCTGTCAGTCTGGAGAATGTATTGATAGATCACTGGTCTGCGATGGAACTACCAACTGTGCGAATGGCCATGATGAAGCAGACTGCTGCAAGCGACCAGGTGAATTTCAATGTCCCATAAATAAGGTAAGGAAACGAGTGCCTTTTTATCAAGGATTATTGTAAAAAGCTTTTTGTAGCTTTGCATCTCAGCGGCCCTACTCTGTGATGGCTGGGAAAACTGTGCTGATGGAGCTGATGAATCTGTGGACATTTGCCTACAGCGACGTATGGCACCAGCATCTGATAAACGCATTTTTATGATTTTAATTGGAGCCACAATGATAATAATATTTTCGATTGTTTATCTGCTACAATTTTGTCGAACACGTTTAGGCAAAAGCCGCACAGAGCCCAAGGATGATCAGGCCTCAGATCCTCTGTCGCCGTCGACACTTACTAAATCACAAAGAGTTTCGAAAATTGCCTCCGTAGCAGACGCGGTTCGCATGTCGACACTGAACTCAAGAAACAGTGTGAACTCGTATGATCGCAATCACATAACAGGTGCCTCCAGTTCAACGACCAATGGTAGTAGCATGGTAGCGTATCCAATCAATCCACCACCTTCACCCGCAACGCGTTCGCGTCGTCCTTACAGACATTACAAGATTATTAATCAGCCTCCTCCGCCCACACCGTGCTCAACGGATATATGTGACGAATCAGACTCAAACTATACTTGTAAATCAAATAGCAATAACAGCAATGGTGGGACCACTAAATTGTCATCTACTTCCGCTGCCGCCTGCCTTCAGTTTGGCTATGACAGCGAGCCATATCCGCCGCCTCCGACTCCACGTTCGCATTATCATAGCGATGTTCGCATTGTGCCGGAGTCTTCATGTCCACCATCGCCATCATCGCGCAGCTCTACGTATTTTTCACCACTACCGCCTCCCCCATCGCCAGTGCAATCGCCAAGTCGTGGATTTACGTAACATTTCGAGTCTTATATCTAAAGATTTAAGTTCTTATTTTTTACTAGTATAGACGAACACCGCGTTGACATTATGCCTATATTATTTTTATACCCTGAACCCATTGAAAATGGGCTGTCGATTTGGCCCTGTCAGTCTGTCTGTCCGTCCGTCCGTATGTATGAACGCGTCGATCTCAGAAGATATAAGAGCTAGAGACTTGAAAATCCGTGTATATCACGCGCATATCGATAACTACTCCCGATATTTTATTATCGATTAAACCCTTATCGAAAGCTAGTTATTTAATTATATCTCCTACACCTTTAGAGCTAGAGCTTGCAAATTTTAAATGTAGACTTATATGTATTTCGATTTCCCCTATATCCACCCCCTCACACTCACCTTTGTAAAAGGCGTATTTCAAGTACTAGAGACTTGTGCTTTGGAATTATTCAACAAATAAATTCTTATAATGTTGCCCACACTGCAGCGCAGCCCAAGCGCAGTCGCTGCTTACTGCTCAGTTAGCAGAGCGTGTTCTAATACGTGCGTGTGTATGTATGTGTGCCGAAAAGTGCAGAGTGATTAGACGGTTCAGGGTATCTCCTAGTCGAGCAGTCTCGACTAGAGTCTTCATACTTGTTTGTACACAAATTGTATATATTAAAATGTATTTTTTATGAAGAAGGCCATTTGATAATTAATATTTAATATGTTAGTGTTGTTAAACTTGATCAATAATGATTGTGTAAAAAGTATAGCTATAATCATTATATATATATATATATATATCGATCTCGTTAAGTTTTATTTGCCGAACGACATTTATTAGTAATGTACGCTAACAATGGTCTACAATTTCTACAATAAAAATTAATAATAAAATTATCTTATTAGGTCTAATCAATGATATAAAAATCGAAAATGGAACACACACATTATATATTCCGCGTGCCAAAATTTACTTAGTAACTACCAATAATACAGTGTTTCAGGCCAAATGTTTGGTTTGTTATACTTTACTTTTTGTTAATAGCTAGTTTTTTTTTTCAATTCTGTAGTGTTATAAGCATCGAAAGTGCCTCGGTAATATGTGTAACATTTGTGTTTATTGTCTTCCTTTTGACCACAATTTTTAGTTTTAAAAAATTCTAATTGAAAACTTTTGTTGATTTTTGGAATACTTTAAAAATCCTTGTAAAAGTATTTGTATAATGTACACCTACGAGAGTTTTTACCTTTAATATATTAAATGTGCAGTATTTGGAAAAAATATATTTAAATTATTATTTATTATTGAGTTTTGTGCACACAAATCTCATGCAGAGCACAGAAATTTTCTGAAAATGTAAAAGTCGGCAGAGGAAGCCTTTACTACTTTACTATATTATACATACATATATTGTATTACCTGAGCCAATCCAAATGGAATCAAAAATAAATTTCAGAAAGGTCAGACTTCGACATCGAAGCTATACAATATTATATTGCCGCCACTTGGTAGGTCGCTGAGCACAACTATTCGTTGATAAGGAAACAAATTTGATAGTGTAATTTTCTGCACGCTTGTCGTACACATTTTGTATATAGCTTAAATTATTCAGCAGGTTGTTATATAAAATAATTCAAAGCTTAAAATCCAACATTGTCTTTATTCGTTAAAATTATTGCTTACATAAACCTAAAGTACATAGTATTGTAATAATTTAAAAACGCATTTATACAAATTCTACTTAAATATTGTCATAGTCTTCATCTAATTCGAAAAGCGATTCGCTTATTGGCGCTGATGCCGAAGTGGGCTTTGGAATGCTTGGAGTTTTGCTCTTTTCATCGATATAATTGACAGACGATTCAAATTTAGAGATTGAATTGTTATTATTTCCATTTATGTTGGTTTTATCCGAAGACATTATTCCATAATTAATCTTCGTTGGAGTGGGCAGCGCACCAGTTGTCACAATATTTGTAAGATCAATGTTTATAACTGGAGGTGCAATATTAAGGTTTATCATGGCAGTTGATGTAATGCCATTATCATCGCCTGATGGGCATGATGTTGTCGTTGTCATTTGAACGTTGCTATAATCGATTTTTACTATAGGCTTATTGAGCAACTCATAATCGCATATCGGTGGAGCTATGGCAGTATCTAGTGGTAGTCTATTATTGTGGTCATTGGTGTCGTTGGACCTACCACGCGGTGTGTATATAGGCATTGACTCAGACCGTGCTAACTTTGTGGGCAAATGACCAGCCTGATGATGAATCTGTGCAAGCGCTGGAGCTGTTTGCATTACAACTGAGGGCGTAGAGGGATTGTAGTTTCGCTTTTGCCCACCTCCATTTAAACTAATAGAGCGCATGTAAGAATTGTTTCCATTGGGCAACACTCGCAGTGAAGTCGACGGCAGACTTAAATCATATGGTGTATCTGAGTCTGGGTATTGTTCTTCGGAGCTCTGTACATCATCGTCATTATAATTAAACGCAGCTTCTTCGGCGACACTGATATCTGGTATATTTCTTACTAGCTCTTTCAAGAAATCGAATCGTTGCTCAGACATAATGCACTGTTTCATATGGGATGGCGATAAGGTTTTAGCATTTCGTGAATTTGTTATACGCAGAGTTTTAGTTAAAAGCGACTCCACAAATAGCTCCAAAGTCCGTGATATGATAACAGGTACCGCCTGTGCAACCTTACCAATTTCCTCATCACTCTGCATAATTTTCTTAATGCGACCCTGTCAATTTAAAAAATGATCACATAATTATTTCAATGCACATTTTGCGTTTGCACCAAATACAAACTGATAAACTCATCGTTGCGATAATGATGCTCGCAGAACTTTGCGCATTAAATGCACTTCTACTAAAGATTCTATATATCATTTAACTTACCGCTGGAAACCGTGCATTGTACTTTTTCTTTTTTGATGGCATTTCTACACTGTTTAGTCTAATATCGTCGAATACAACAATAATATGTTCTATTAAAAGACTTAAATTTTTACTTGCTTGTCTTTACACAAGAATAGTTCCTAATAGTGGTATTTGGGAATGACAACAATTCACATAAAATAGAGTTAAATCAGCATTCACCCAGAAAAATACTATATACCAAATTTGATTTAAAAAAACAACAACTAAACAGTACAATACTATAAATTATTATCAAAAATATATTTTAAAAATTTCTGCGTTTTAAAATATTTTTGTATTCACTTTACAAGAAATATGTATGTATATCTGGGCAACGTTGCAAATTGCTTGTTGTTGAATGTGAATGTCTTAACATAAAATTTAAAATAAAAAAAATTTGGACAGTGTGGCAACCTTTATAGAATTCACTGTGAATGTCAACGTTTACATCATTTAAAGATAGTAAGTAACCTTTGCTTTGCTTAGTTAATAAACAATTTCATCCAACTCGGTTCCCCGAATTAAGCTGATTTTAATTGATGTTTAAGGCTAATAAGGATCCATGTAAGCCTTTCGCCTGTGCTATACAAGCTTGTTTAGTAGGTAAGTAAAAGAATTGATCCACGATATTATGCAATGGGGATCTGCAATCTGCACCTATATACATACATACATGCAGAAATAAAAAAAATTAATATGTGAATTGAAATATTTTCGCAGAACATAATTTTCAAGAACATAGATGCAGTGAGGTGCTGGAGCGAATGCGTTTGTGCTGCCTTAAGTGGCATAAGGAGTCACTGTGTTGTAGTGGTATCAATTTGGAAAAATCTTATTTACAAAATCCAGAAGTTGAAATCAACCCAAAGATTTCACGCAGGTATGGTACACAAAATTTTGTATATTCTAGACAATCGAAAGTAATAAAATGTTTCCTAGTAGTAACAAATAATGCCAACACCAACACCCGTACCTTCATACAAGCCACCCAAAGATATTCAAGATTTTTTGAGCAAGAGAGAGCAAACAAATATACGCAAGAGAACTGCTGTTTTACCGAAGCGTTCTTGGATAAAGCGCAATCCGCGGCTATTTCAAATAACTTTTTTGACCTCATCATTGCTTATATTTTTCTCTAAACCACTGTACGACGCATTCATAGCGGACCCTTTACCCTCGAAGGGCATTGTACCAGCACATAAACGTTAAGGCATGGAATCTGTACGCAAGGCCAATATCCGACTACGTAACTATCCATTACTGCTGACAAAGTGTTCAGATAAAGCGACACTATATGCGAAGTGCGTATCTCGGGATATTAATGTGCATCAGAAAGTTTGCGAAGCCGAGTTTAAGGAATTCTTAGACTGTATGCGTAAAACTGCCAAAGACCTCAAAACAAAGCTGTAAATATATTTTTATAATCACTGTTCAACATGTCGGAGCAAAGTAAGAAATCCTCGTGGCTGCAGGATAAGGGACAGAACATATTGAATTTAAGTATTCAATCACATTTAGTAATTTCTGCAGTGCTCCGACTTATGCTAATTTTCTATGCCCAAGTACACGATAACAGATCAACTGTTCCTTATACAGACATTGATTATAAAGTGATAACGGACGGGGCACGGCTAGTGTTGATTGGAGACACACCGTTTGCTCGGCACACCTACCGATATAGCCCTATATTGGCCTACATTCAAATTCCAAACGTTATTTTACATCCAGCAATAGGAAAAGTGATTTACGGACTGTTTGATCTACTCCTAGGGTTGCTTATTTATGCCTTAGTGCGTTTGGAATTTCGAATGAAAGAGCTCAGCGATTCGCACATGAAATACGAAAGGTTAATGAAGATATCTTCACATAATCCAGAACACAGACATGAAGAATCTACAAAAATTGCTTGCGTCTCTGCCTGCTTTTGGCTATACAATCCGCTTACGGCTGTAATATCGACCCGAGGCAATGGTGACAGTTTGACCGGATTCTTTGTAATACTAAATGTGTATCTTCTAATGAGAATGCAACACTCGGTATTTAAATTTTGGATTGCGTTTTGTGCAGGTTTTGTTCATGGATTCGTTATACACTTGCGGCTCTATCCAATAGTATTCAGTTTAACATACTATTTGGCAATATCGGGCCTATCAAAAAAGCCTCTCGGACTGTTGCAAAAAATGTTCCCTAATACACAGCAGATTTACCTAATAATCGGAACACTTATAGGACTGGTATGCTTTACTTCCACTTTTTATTTTCTTTATGGTTGGAAATATATATATGAAGCATATTTGTATCACTTGATTCGAAAGGATGTACGCCATAACTTTTCACTTCAGTTCTTGGTGCAATATCTGACTAATGAAAACGGAGTTGGAGAATCATCACCGACTGTAAGATTTCTTATAGTAGCACCTCAGTTGTTACTTATAGTTTATTTAAGCTTTAGTTTTGGACGGTCTAGGCGTACATTATCTTTTTGTGTTTTCACTTTGGCCTTTGTTATTGTCACTTATAATTCTGTGGTTACTTCACAGTACTTTATATGGTATTTGGCTGTGCTTCCTGTATGCATAAGAAATTTAAAGTCTTTGTCATTGGCAAAGTCTACATCGCTACTCTTTCTTTGGCTTTGCGGACAAGCTTTTTGGTTACTGCCGGGATATTTATTAGAGTTTCAATCATGGCCAACTTTTTATTGGATTGGCACCCAGAGTGCAATTTTCTTTGTTATTAACAGCTATATTTTATCCCAACTCATAAGCCACTTCGAGCCATAATATTGTAATATACTATTATTGTACTCTTAATAATAAATGGAATTTATGTACATATGTATATCTTAATCTAAACTTGGATTGATACAAGCACTTTCTCATCCCTTGAAGTCAACTAAAACCTTGGGTCAACTAAAATGACCTTGGCAGACCTTTCACCCTAACCATTCTGTGTTTGCGATTGCATATGCATGCACGTAATTAACCATCTAAAAATTAGTGTTATAATCAGGACCTCCAGGCGAGAAAATACACTCACACCTGCAAAGCGAAGATAATCCAGTTATTCTAAACTCCCTTCATATGCTTGTATTTATTTATGTTAATGTGTGTATTTATTACGACTGAATAAAAAAGAATCGTTTGAGTGGTTATAAAAACGAAATCAACAGGAGCCAAACAGATATTTTTCAGACAAATTCAGTTTCGTCGAAAGAAATGGACTTACAAAAACTTGAGTAATTGGACGCCTCTGCCAATTTGTGATTTATATGCTATCATTTATTATGAAGCCGAACGGGTGCAATGCAGCACTCTTCTGACATGTACATACATATGTATGAATGTATTAGGAACAACACTTGCGCCCACACATACGCAATTTTACACTTTGTGCACACTGCACAGAATGTACATTATGAGATCTGTCATGCGTCCTTCGGTCTGTTACATATACTATTACAAAACCATTAATCATCTGAATTCACATTTTCAATTGTTTACTCGAAACATTAATATGTGTATTGTAGTTACATATATAAAATATTTCGCTTAAATATCGGCTATGTATTTCTTCAAATTCGATTCTAGAATATATAAGTAAACCAGAATTATACAGTAAATCAAGATAAAGTTTACAACTAAATAAAACACGTTTCTGCATAAAATATGTATACTTATTCTTAGGCTGAAGCTTTTCTAAAAATATATATTATAATTGCATAAATACTTAAATAAGCTAAAATAAAATTATTGTATAAAAAGTTTACAGTACAGTTGGGACTTTATTTTAATTTTTATATTCAAAAATGTTTTGGAAAGGGTAAGCTGAATGGCACTAAATAATTCATGGTTTCCAAAATGGTTATTTAAATGTAAACATTTTTTTTTAGTTGTATAAATCTTAAAATCTGCTTACATTTACTATCGGACATTCTGATGTAAAAATTATTACTTTTTCATGTATTTCCAGTCTGAATGATGTATTGAAAGGTCTATTGAATCTTTGTTTTATTTTATAAATATCAATTAAATATGAAGATAAATATTTATGTTAAAGTTTAATCTCCAATCATGTTCAATTATGTCAAAAAAACACAAACTTTTTTTATTGTATAATACATTTTTCTTTTCCACCGCTAATGTCAACTTGTTCAAGCTCGCGTGCTATTTCCTGGTCGTCCTCAATACTATAAGATAAATATGATATGAAGCGCAAGACACATATTTAGTATAAATACATACGCTATTTCTTGGTTATGCAAATGTTGCACTAGTTGATCTCTTTTATCAACAATCGTCACCAATTCTTCTAGCAATAGACGTTCCTTTTCTCGTTGTACCTCTGTTTTTCGCCAATCCTCCACGGACTGGGCAGCGCGGAGTTCCTGATTAAGCATTGTAAATTTACGCTCAAGATCCTTTTCTTGTTCACTTCAAGAAATTATTGAAAATGATTATCTCCAAATTAGATGTGTAATTTATTACTTCTTACAGAATATTTAACTGCATCTGCCTCCTAAGAAGTGCATTTTTCTTGTTCACAAGCGTGAACCACTGCGAAAGTAATTGTTCTTCCGTCTCTTCAGTTTCTGGGAAAAAGAAAAAATTGTTTAAAATGCCACTTGTTTTCATATAAAAAATTGTGATAATATTTAATATTCTAACGAAATCGTTTTTTTAAGAAATATTTTTGCGGTGTCAGTATATTCTAGCTGTCGTAGAGCGCTACTTGTGATTAGTGATACTCTTTGTGGTTATGGTACAAATTTGAAAGGAAATTTGTTTAGGCATGTCAAGGTTTAAGTTAGATATTTTTTAACAAATGCAGCGCTTTGACAGAATAGTTAAAAGCAAAAATATATAACACATATATGAGAGCGGCAGGCGTTGCGTGCTGTTGCGGGCATGGCAAAAGCAGTTATGTTAGTCGTCCTTAGAGATACCACATTACCACAAAAGCCGCGGGAACGCGACTGTCGATGTTTTTGCTGGCCCCTTTTGTGGCCATTACGTCTTCGTCGACAACAAGCAGCATGACTAGTGGCAGCTACAACTGGAGAATTGTCACCTTCCCCATTAAAGAAATGTACGTTATCACAGGATTTTTTGGAAGTCGCAACTGAGGCAGAATTACATAGTAAATGGCTATAAGGTTCCACGTGATGAACGTGGTGCGGAGTTTGGCTCGTGCCATGCTGATGATGCTGACAATGATGGTAATTTTTTTCGATTTGGTGTTGATATGTGGGCTGTATTTGTGGGTAGTTAAGATTTACATTTACAAAACAAGAGTGAGCACGAGGCCGCGACCGTGTTTGCATCTTCTGCATCGGTTGCATCGATATAGCTTGATTTACAGGGTGATGCATTTCATTCCTGCCAGAGGTGCTGGAAGTGTCACTATATACCTCATCATCGTCATTATAGTTCTCATCAGTATCACTGCTAGCACCGCTTATACCACTACCAAATAAACTTTCATCATCCGAGTCAAGGAGCTTAATGCGTATGACATCACCACCACCAATGCTATTGCGTATTAATCTAAGAAAGGGATTTGTACCATTTCGATTATTACTTGGATTACCGCCCATGACTGCACGGAGTTTGGCCTCTAGATTGCTAGCCTTTTGGTCAATCGCCTCTTGCTCGCGTTCCAATGCTTCCAGCTCAGACTCAATATAGGTTAGTCTGTCATTCTAAAAAATAAACTTGATTGAAATACATAACATATTACTTTTAAGAGAGTACTTACTCTTCTTTCATGCTTTGGTGAAATTCTCTCCACGACTGCGTTAAAGGATTGTAGTGGAGTAAGGGTTCCATCACTTAATCTATGACTAGGACTCATATGAATGGCATGTTCTACGGTCTTATCCCGAGTAGAGGCTATTTGATTAGAAATAACGTCGACGTGAGATTCTCCGCAGTTACTGCCATTTGGAGTAGGTGAAATCGTAAGCTCAGAAGTAAAATTAAATCTCTTCAGCTTAGTAGGGGATGTGGGACTGCCAACAGCGTTATTTACAGGTCCGGCTATCTTATTTCGCGTTTCTAAAATAAGCCGTCGTGCTTGTTCCCGTAATCTTTGCTGGCGTTCCTCCTGCTTTGAATATCATAAATATCATTCAATTAATACATATTTTATTTTAGTTATTTTATTTATAATTAACGATGTAAACAGGCAAAGCGGTAATACAATTTTGCCCATTATTACTTACATCACTTGCACCGAGGCGTTCGTCATAACTAATTTTTAATTTTTCCATCATCAATTTAGCTTTTTCGCTCATTTCTTTGTGACGTATTAAAATGCGCTATGAAAATAAATACGAACAAAACAAAAAACAGTAGCAAAAGCCAAAGCCAAAGCAGCCGCAAAATTGTATATAAATTAAAAGATACTAACTAAATAACGAAACGAAAAAACTTAAAACTCTATTAAAAATCAATTCGCATAGCTTTCTATTACTAGAAACTCTTTCGCTGGGATAAGAATTTACTTACACTTGTTGCATTGGCATCGAGCGACATAGGCAATATAGGTTCCTTGTTAAGCTTTGCTATTTCCTCATTTACATCGTCATCAATAGGAGGCGGCGTAGGGGAGCGGCGAATTAATATTGATTTATTATTTTGACTTGTGGTTTGTATAGCGTTGGTTGCATTTTTATCTTTTGTTGGAGACAGAACTTTACCCAAAATACTCTTTGAACTAGTCAGTATAATATTTTTCATGTCTTTTTTACTGGAGGGTGATATTTGTTGTTGTTGTTGACAAAGGTTATCTTCGTCGAACGAATTTTGGTGTAAAATCTGTGTCTTCAGATGAGAAAAATTTATAAGATTTTGCGATAAATTATCAGATTTATAGTTGCCGATGACATAGCTAGACTCATCCGATGTTGGACCTGAACATAGAGAATTTACAGATGAATTAAAAAAATTTTTTTTCGGTTAAAAATTACTTACCAATTTGTTCAATTTGCAATTGCTTTCCAGTGAAATGAGCCCTCAATTGGTGCAAGTATGTCATGACAGCTAATTTATCCGGTACTGTGAGTAAATCCATATCACGTGGCTCAATAACACGTGGTATTCCCAATGTTTCTGCTGCATCAAAGGCTGTACGACAGTTGCCAACAACGTCATGGGCAGTCAGATTTGACATATCTCTAATATAAACAGTAATTGAAAAATTTAACATTACATTAATGTTGTATTTACGTCAACTACTTATCTACTCACATCAAGTGCGGCATAAAATGATGAATTATTGCGCAGAAAGCCATTCCATTACGCCAGCTAGTAGTTAAATTTGTGACTTTTACATTTGGATAATCTTTGGTTACTTCTTTACACCACTCTAACAAATCTTGTCCAGGGGTGTTATCCTTTAGCACAATCTTTTGTAATGGTTTTAAATCGGAGTTATTTATTTTCGCAGAATTATTTACAGCGGGTGTAGAGTCATAGCTTTTCTTTAAATTCAAGGGCTGAAGTTCCGGGCGTTTAACAATTGATATTATTGCAACATCGTCTATAGGCTTCTTTGAGTTTTCGATGGATTGCACTGATCCAGTTGATTTTGTGCTGACTGGAGTTATATTCAAGTCAGCGGCTGATTGATCATTGTAAGAATTATTATCTTGGACTTTTAGCACATCCACGGCACTGCAATCTTGCTTGTCAAGGGTTGGAGCTTTATTTAAGTCGTTCTTATACTTTAATTTTTCTGTGGTATTTGATTTCTCTTTGATAGGAGTAGATGTTAGCAATTCATGAAAACTTTCGTTTCGATTATATTCCAACGGTTTATAAACGATATTATTTTCCGTT